TTTTTCATGAAAAAGTGTGCCTTTGCACAAAAAAGGTTGAAAAACACTGATCTAATGAGTAACTTGACATAACTCAAGTTACTAAGCCATTATTAAGAGCCGTGGTGGCGCAGTGGATAGAATGCAGTATGGCAGGCTACTTCTGCTGCCTGCCAGCTGCCTGCAATTTGGCAGTTCAAATCTCACTAGGCTGAAGGTTGACTCAGCCTTCCATCCTTCTGAGGTGGGTAAAATGAGGACCCAGATTGTTGGGGACAACAGGCTGACAAACCACTTAGAGAGGGCTGTAAAGCACTATGAAGCAGTATATATGTAGTGTTGTTGCTAATATGTATATTATGAATGCATTTTTATATTGTAATGTTGGAAACCATTAGAGCAGTGTTTCTCAACCTTGGCAACTTGAAGATGTCCGGACTTCAACTCCCAGAATTCCCCAGCCAGCGAATGATAACAAGCCTGTGCAAAATTGAAGTTTAGATTTAGATTCAGAATGACAATAAGGAGACCTGAACCCTTGGCAAAAAGAATTCTACCAAGTTTGGTTGTTTACTTCCCCACGATCCTGGTTCATGACAAATCTCTCTCCCCCTCCCCAATATAGCAAGCGGGCAAACTATTGTTTGCAAGTTGCTTTTCTTAATTTTTCTGTACATCACGCTATGTAATGGTAATTCCTCTGACACTCCTCCACCCATCAAAACAATTGTACCACTCAAGACGTATTGAAACGTCGCCACCTGCTGGTGTGTGTGTGTGTGTGTGTCTCAAATATTTAATTGAGAAAAAAGTAACTAAATGCTTTCTGGGGTTTGTTTGTTTTTAGATCATCATTCTCTTCAGCCTGTTTTAGCATGTTTAATGGGAAAGGACTATGGGAACTCTCTAGTCTGTATCAGTTGGCCTTCACCTGCTTTGTATTTGGTAGCCCTGTCAGGCATAGGAATCACTTCAGAGATGTTGTTGTAATGTGTTTAGGAAAGATAACCATAAATAATCTCTAGGTTCCTTCTTTGCTCTGTGCAAACTGAGTTACAGATTCAGAGCAATTGGGTTGACTAACTGCGGTCTATAACTTCAGACTGCAGGTGACTTCTCCTCATTTCAAACAAATGTTCCTTTAAACATAGTACATACAATTGTTAAAATGTCATGGCTGGATTTAAACAGCCCAGTTTTGATGCTGCAAAAGTAGTTAAGTTTGGAACTAGTGCAGTGGCTTTCTAAATATGGAGAATTACCATATTTTTTGGAGTATAAGACGCACCAGAGTATAAGACGCACCAGAGTATAAGACGCACCAAGATTTTGAAGAGGCAAATTAAAAAAAAATGTTTTTGCACTCTGCAGACCTCCCTGTTCGTGAAAACGTGCCCTCCCCCAATGAGCAAAAAAGAGGCTGAAAATCTGGGTGCGTCTTATACACTGAATACAGCATTTTTTGCCTCCTGAANTCTATCTATCTATCTATCTATCTATCTATCTATCTATCTATCTATCTATCTATCTATCTATCATATATATATCACGCATCTGCACATGTACATACAGTCTTTCAAAGAAGGGAAAATGTCTAGTAGGAAGATTAGAAACAAATTTAAAGTCAACATTTAAAGGAGGATTTTCTTAAAATTTCCACAAGGGCATCTTGGCATGACCATGCAAGATAAGGATAATGGAGATTAAAGTCCCACGAATATAAAGGACCACAAGTCACAGAAGTCAGAGTAGAATATTGGAATGAGAATAGTTAAACAGTCACATATGTCTCATATCTAGGCCTCTAGGCTGGATCTTGCCTCTCGGGTATATTTTGGAATATTGAGAAAGTCAGAAAGAGTGGAAGGCTGTGAAATGAACTCCCGAGGAACCTCTCTGATTTCTCTCCTTTGTAGGGATCTGCATGGCATTTTATGAAACCGGCTTTGACACCAAGGCCATTGATCGGCACAAAGGTGGCACCAAAGACTATGGCATCTTCCATATCAACAGTGGTTCATGGTGTAAAGAAAACAATGCCTTATCAACGGCCATTTGTGACATAGCTTGCTCAGGTCAGTTTCCATCCCTCCCCACCAGTAATGCTATCCTATTTTCTTCATTACCGGTTTGGTAGCAGGAGCCCACCTGCCCACATGCACAGGAAGTCCTTGATGATGTCTGGCTGGGTGGGCGGAGCCTCACCCATACTGGTGTGAACCCGTAGCATACCACCTCTGCTCCCTAGGACTTGGATTTGTGCCCTAGGACTAGAAAACATAAAATATGGTAACCAAAAAAAATATATGAATATGGGGTGGACTTTTTAGCAATGTTCTGGAAAGTGAATACTCTTGCTATTTGAACAGGATGCTAATGATTAAATGGCAACTTTTCAAATTTTCACATCAAAATAAGAATAGTAAACATCTTAATATATTGAGTTTGAGTTTCACTTTATTTATATGCCGCCCTATTCCCTGCGGGACTCAGGGCGGTGCACAAACCCAAGGAGGAAAAGGGAAACACAAGAACTACAAATACAAGGCATTTAAAAACAACCAACAGCCACACGATTCG